AACTTCATTATTGCGTGTTTTCAAACTGAAAATATCGCTAAAATAATTGGTTATAAGGCGCATTGTTGTTTGGGGAGTAAAGATCGGTCAAGTTTATTGTAAATTCTTTCATAAACTTACAAAAAAGCGAAAAAGTCGCGTATTGATTTTAGTTTACCGTTAATTAACAAAAGCAGAATTGAAATTAGAAGATCCTCGCAGCTAAGAACACTACTGAAACTAGTAGTTGTAAGTAGGACCTGAAAAAAATTTCAGGCCCGTACGGGATTTGAACCCATGACCTCTGCGATACCGGTGCAGCGCTCTACCAATTGAGCTAACAAGCCAACTGGGAGCTGGTCAATGAATTGGGTACAAATAAACATCTGAGTGAATGAAGATTTAGATATATGAAAATTCACATATTTGCACTGCGGTGGAAAGATGAAATTAGAAGATCCTCGCAGCTAAGAACACTACTACCACTACTTTTTTTAGGTCCTACTTACAACTACTAGTTTCAGTAGTGTTCTTAGCTGCGAGGATCTTCTAATTTCATCTTTCCACCGCAGTGCAAATATGTGAATTTTCATATATCTAAATCTTCATTCACTCGGATGTTTATTTGTACCCAATTCATTGACCAGCTCCCAGTTGGCTTGTTAGCTCAATTGGTAGAGCGCTGCACCGGTATCGCAGAGGTCATGGGTTCAAATCCCGTACGGGCCTGAAATTTTTTCAGGTCCTACTTACAACTACTAGTTTCAGTAGTGTTCTTAGCAGCGAGGATCTTCTAATTTCATCTTTCCACCGCAGTGCAAATATGTGAATTTTCATATATCTAAAAGCAGAATTGTCGCACACGCGACCACGCGCACAAACAAAAAAAGCCTTGATTAAACAAAAGCAAAATGTCACACACATTTACAAAAGCCGAAAAATGTCACACATTTAGTCACATGAGATAAACAAAAAAGGCAAAAAAAGTCACATTTTAATACAACCTATCGGTACATATTAATTTTTAGCCTTTCCTCTCGGGAAACATGGTTTTAAAGTATAAAAACAATTCGATCAACAAAATCAGTAGTCGCAAATTTACTTCACCTGGTGAACATCACTTTGCGAAGTCTACTTTCAGCACAATCATGCCAAACACTCGCCGTCATTCTAATGATCTCAACCTCAAGTTGAAAATCGTAATTGAAGCTGAAGCTGTTAACAACAATCGAGAGATAGCGAGGGAATACGGAATTTTCGAATTAATGGTTTCGAATCAATGGTTCGGCGATCTGAAGATGACAGCCAAGCACGCTTCCATGGACCGTTACCGACCAAAAGATCCCGAACTTCATCAACTGTAGGCCGACTGGTTCAGTGATCAAAGGAGCCAAGGTAAGCAAATGCCTATTTATCTAATACATGAAAGTTCACACGGCAACCAGGTGGACAATCGGACATAGTTTGATGCTACTCTGGTTTGCAGATTTAATGAATGTAACCGAGGAAGATACAATTCATAGACCCAACGTTTCGACACTCCTGTCTAATGCCTTCATCAGGGGTGATCTAGACGCTGTAACTAGAGGTCCTTTTATATGATCACTAATTAGCGGCCTTTTTTTTTTTTCTCTGACGAGGTGTAAAAATGCATCAGGAAGCAAACCGCCATCGTCACGATCTAAACCTCCTCCCAAAAACATTCGTATTATCTGCTGACAAAGGTAATTGTGTTGTGGTTATGGACAAACAGCAATATCACGACAAAGCTTTGTCTCTGCTTAATGACAAGAGTACATATGCTGTCTTAAAGTCTGATCCTACCAGAAAAACTCAAGGAAAGTTAAACAAAATGTCGCTTGGTAAATTTAGTGACTCTACGTACAAAATATTATACAGTAGTGACGGCTTTTGTCCACGTTTTTATGGCTTACCTAAAATTCATAAACCGGGAATTCCTTTGAGACCAATTGTCCCTTTTGTTAATTCTCCGACTTATGCAATTTCTGGTTATCTTGCGAGAATTTTGTCGCCTGTTGTTGGGAATACTGAATACACTGTCAAAAATTCCTGCGAATTTGCGGATTTCAACCACAACGTTAAAGTTGCTCAAAAACCTTCTAAAAGACTTCAGTTAATATGCATTGGCGATACACATGTTTTGAACTAAAAACATACTTTAGTACCCACTGGAGCGTATAGTGTTTTGTATTTCTACTAGAACGTTAAGGACGTAACTGCCAAAAACCAGTTACAAATAGTAACGCTCTTGATGAAAGGGAACCAGCGACTAGTTTTGCTGTTATTACAGGGTGTTACGAATTAACTTATTCTACAACAGATGAACTCTATATTCCAAGACAGGATTACTTCCATATTTCGCTGCTTCGCGCAGGGTCCATAGCACAAGAGGCAAGTGACCAGTTAAAAATTGAAGTATTGACATGCCCGCATGACACTCCCGCCATCCGCAAGCGATTTTAAATTTCTGTCTCCAAAGATCAGTTCTGGCCAGGATATACTTAAATTAACAAATAGAGAAGCCTTGACTGTGCTCTGTTCTGTTATAAAGCAGTTAGGAAGCGGCTAGAGCACGAAAGAAGTGTAGGGAGAAACACGAGACGTAGTCGAGTGTTTCTTCCCACTTCCTTTCGTGCTCTAGCCGCTTCCTAAGTGCTTTTTAACAGAACAGAGCAAAGTGAAGGCTTCTCTATTTGTTTTATAATAAAGAATCCGTTAAATTCCCCATGTATTACTGTCAATTTTCAAAACAAACCATTTCCAAAGCGAACAACAGTGTCGTCAGCATGCTCTATACTCTCATAGAGCACGCTACAATAAGCCAATCAGAATCCCTGTTAGAATGGTTCAAGTAATCTGATTGGCTGTACAAGACAAAAGCTGTCAAAAGTGTCAAACCATCAAAGTTAAAAAAAAATCAAATGTCACAATCTGCGATAGTTTACAAACTAAAATAATTCGGCAGGTCGAATTTAACGCTTTTGCCTGAAGTTTTTAATTTAGAATCTTGAAGTGAAATGTTCAGTGAACTTAAGCCGAATTATGGCTCATTAAAACACGCGGGTTTTTTTTTTCACATGACATGGTAGAAAACAAACTGTTCAAGGCGAGTGTTTTTAAATGAACAACAGCCGAATTCACCGGAACATGAGGATCGCTCGGGATGACAGCGCCGCAAAACACGGCTGCAGCGACCGAAGTGACTTTCCACTCAACACATCGGAAAGGATATCAGAGCGAGCTCTTATTTTTTTTTCACTCGAAGGGCGGCCGATGTAGTTTCTGAGGCTTGCTTCACTGTGATGACCGGAGATCGCCATGATAAGTGAGCTGCGATGGACTTCAGCATGATCATATTTGCTCAGACACCGTATTTATATTTTTCATCATTTTGTTTTGTTCTGTTTTGTTTTTGAACTCTGAACTTTATATACTATACGAGTGTTGGCTTTGTTTGATTTTCATTACCGTACGTAAGCTTGCAATCTAACTGAGCGTGAAAATCTTTAAAACTCGGAATGTCTATTTTGTTTTTCCTTTGAGGATTTTCGTATCTGCCCACGTTTTAATAACGTAAATAACGGCGCCTGGTATGTTTACAAACCTTTCTTTGGTTCTTCTGTTACTACTTGCCGGCTCGCTTGTTCCGAAATTTCACTTTAAATTATCGGAAAAAAAAATTAAAAGAAGTCCCGGAAAAGGTCGAACATTGTACAATTTGGCAGATGGCGTGACAGCTTTAGCTCAGTTCTATGCTCTATACTCTCATAGAGCACGCTCTTTCAACCAATGACAGCACGCGTTATATCCGAACTTTATTATAATGTTTTATGGCCATGTGATTTTGAATGTGACATTTCCACATCAGCGTGTTCTTGAGCTTTTGTAAAGCCGGAAGTGATACTTCTCTACTGAAGCAGATAACTTCAGACACGTATTTCTCCAGAATTTCGTCAGGTATCCTCTTTCCCCTCTTTTAGTCGTATTTTTAAGCTCTGTAGGATTTTTTTTCTATTCTCATTTTTAGGATGCGCAACGCTTAATGTCTTAACTTTACTGAATTCGTTATACTCAAAAGGCTTACGTAGGTCAACATTGTTTCGTGCTTATTATAGCAGAATATAATTTTTGCGTGAAAAACAAAAAATTGTTGAGTACATAACCATTACCTCCTCCTGAGAATATTAGTAAAGAAAGCACCAAAAATTGGACTAGATCTCCCCTAACCTGGGATAGCTCTTTTTTTAATGTCGATGAAATACCGGATAGAGTATTTTCTCTATTATTTCTAATAATTTATCCATCTAAGAGTCTTTCAATTCTGTTCCCTTCGAGTACTTGTCATTATTTACTCTATCGGGGTCTTTTTTCCTGCAAGAAAAAAATTGAAATAACCCAATTTATCATTACCTCAATTAACATTTTGGATATAAAGCAAACACAATTACACCAAGGACCATATATATAAATAATTGGCTATTACTTGTATCTCATTGGTAGAGAGGCATCTGTGAGATTCTATACTTTACACCAGAGAACGGAGATAGTAACTCTTCAAAAAGGAAAAAAAGTGTGTGTGTATATACATATATATATATATTTATATTTATGTACATATATATATATATATATATATAGATAGATAGATATCAAACTAGCCTTGATGTTCAAGGAAACAAAGGATCCCCATCCAATCAACAACCAGTAAGTCATAACTATTTTCACGTCTAATCTAACTTTAATTTAAGAAAGACCTGTCCTCACTGAGTCTTGCCGCTGCGTAACTCAACATAGTAACTCTTCAAAAAGGAAAAAAAGTGTGTGTGTATATATATATATATATATATATATTTATATTTATGTACATATATATATATATATATATATATATATAGATAGATAGATATCAAACTAGCCTTGATGTTCAAGGTAACAAAGGATCCCCATCCAATCAACAACCAGTAAGTCATAACTATTTTCACGTCTAATCTAACTTTAATTTAAGAAATACCTGTCCTCACTGAGTCTTGCCGCTGCGTGTCAAAGTCGAGTCTCACATCATCTCCAATCAGCGTAAACGAAGCCCACTCAGACATTTTGTTCAAGCCGTTTTTTCTCATCCACTTCATGGCATGATGAAGGGATTCACTGGCACTTCCACCTTCAATGAGGTGTTCGTAGAACCGACTCATCAGCTGCTCTGTTGCTGAGTCTGGAATGGCCCACAGCGCAACCAACACCGAGCGAGCACCGGATCCTAAGAACGCACGGGCAATTCCTATAACTCCCTCGGCTCTTATCTCTCCACTTCCACTGTGACAGCAGCTAAGTACCACCAGTTTAGCTCTGACTTTCACTCGTGAGACATCAGCCATCGTCAACATGTAAGCTTCCTTCGGGATAGCGTTTTGACTGTTGGGAGTAGGAATGGGGGAGAGTGCAATTTCTCCTCTTTCCGCGTCACCATGGGCAGCAAAATGTATCAAGCTCACTGAACTTATCCGCTCAAGTACCGCCTGCTTCGTTGCTTTCTCTTCAACTAGAGGCGGAACACCCACCAGTCGTCCGACCATCTCCGCTTCCTTTCTTGCAGCTGGCAATGGTTGCAGCCAATTTACCTTGGGATTGCCTATAACCAAGGCACCAGTGTTGCTGTGATAGTCCTCTGGACTATCTTGAATGTTCTTGAGTGTTGTCAACGAAGGAATGATACGGATCTTATGGGTCTCTGACAAGTATTCGGCTCCTTCCTTTTCACTCAGGGCAGCAAAGGGAACTTTGTATAACCTGCGGTCAGGAACAATAATGACTTCAGGCTCATCAAGCAAATCATAAACGGGGGCAATGAACATTTTGTAACATAAATGTAGACTTGAAATCACTTTCTCGTCCTCGTCCTCGTCCTCGTTCTCGTCCTCGTCCTCGTCCTCCTCCACGAGTCGTAATCTTGCTGAGCTCTTTTGCGCGGGGGAGAGAGGTTGCAATTTAATCGTATTTAAAGACCGATCTTCACAATCTTTAGGGGGCAAAATACCAAGACTCCGGAAATTATCATCCAAAAATTGACTCAAATGCAAATCTTTGGGTAACCCAGCCTGAACTAGATTCTCTTCTGGTGATACTCTTCTATAGTGAAGGACTCCACTTGTTTTCAAGATCCACAAATGCAGACTATTCTGAAAATAAGAAATGTACAGACAAGTACAGTTTTTTTGCTTTCTTAAAATGTTCTCAATGCCAAACCAAGATTGTGGATTAGCAGAGATGTGCGTTTCAACAGAGTACTTCTCTGCCATTAAGTCTGATAGGCCTCTAGCTCGACCCAACTCCTCAACATAAATAGCATCCCGAGCATTTCCGGTGGCACAAAGCAAAGTACAAAGCAGTTTGTAAGGAAATATTCCTGTGTCCTCCAGTAATGATGTTTTGAACTGATCATTGGCGCCCAAGAAATATCTCAGCTCCTCATACTTTTCAATGCAGAGATGAAGACACGACAGGGAGTCTTTGATTTTATATTGGTATAAATACAAAACGGCGTAATTTGCGAGGATTTCGAACTCTCCTCTTGCATCTCCAATATCTCTGGATATCAATAAGGCTTTCTCCCAGCATACTTCCGAAGCTTCAAAATCACCAACCGTTCTAAACACAGCGGTACCTAGGTTTCCATAACATGATGCCTCCCTTCTCTGTCGCCAATTTCAGTTCTGATGACAAGCGCTTTTTGGAGATACTCTTTAGCCTTGTCGTATTGGCCAACGGACATAAACACAGTACCGAGGTTTCCATAGTTAGCTGCCTCCCCTTTCTGTCGCCAATTTCAGTTGTGATGACAAGCGCTTTTTGGAGATACTCTTCAGCCTTGTCGTATTGGCCAAGCGACTTAAACACAGTACCGAGGCTTCCATAGTGATCCGCCTCCCTTTTCTGTCGCCAATTTCAGTTGTGATGACAAGCGCTTTTGGAGATACTCTTTAGCCTTGTCGTATTGGCCAACAGTTTTAAACACAGTACCTAGGTTTCCATAACATGATGCCTCCCTTCTCTGTCGCCAATTTCAGTTGTGATGACAAGCGCTTTTTGAGATACTCTTCAGCCTTGTCGTATTGGCCAACGGACAGAAACACAGTACTTAGGTTTCGATAACATGATGCTTCTCCGCTTCTGTCGCCAATATCAGTTCTGATGACAAGCGCTTTTGGAGATACTCTTCAGCCTTGTCGTATTGGCCAACGGACAGAAACACACTACCTAGGTTTTCATAACATGATGCTTCCCTTCTCTGTCGCCAATATCAGTTCTGATGACAAGCGCTTTTGGAGATACTCTTCAGCCTTGTCGTATTGGCCAACGGACATAAACACAGTACCGAGGTTTCCATAGTTAGCTGCCTCCCCTTTTCTGTCGCCAATTTCAGTTCTGATGACAAGCGCTTTTTGGAGATTCTCTTCAGCCTTGTCGTATTGGCCAACGGACAGAAACACACTACCTAGGTTTCCATAACATGATGCTTCCCCTTCTCTGTCGCCAATATCAGTTCTGATGACAAGCGCTTTTTGGAGATACTCTTTAGCCTTGTCGTATTGGCCAACGGACATAAACACAGCACCGAGGTTTCCATAGTTAGCTGCCTCCCTTTTCTGTCGCCAATTTCAGTTGTGATGACAAGCGCTTTTTGGAGATACTCTTTAGCCTTGTCGTATTGGCCAACTGACAGAAACACACTACTTAGGTTTCCATAGCTAGCTGCCTCCCCTCTTCTGTCGCCAATTTCAGCTGTGATGACAAGCGCTTTTTGGAGATACTCTTCAGCCTTGTCGTATTGGCCAAGCGACTTAAACACAGTACCGAGGTTTCCATAAGTAGCTGCCTCCCCTTTTCTGTCGCCAATTTCAGTTGTGATGACAAGCGCTTTTTGGAGATACTCTTCAGCCTTGTCGTATTGGCCAAGCGACTTAAACACAGTACCTAGGTTTCCATAACATGATGCTTCTACGCTTCTGTCGCCAATTTTGGTTGTTATGGCAAGCGCTTTTGGAGATACTCTTTAGCCTTGTCGTATTGGCCAACGGACATAAACACAGTACCGAGGTTTCCATAGTTAGCTGCCTCCCTTTTCTGTGGCCAATTTCAGTTCTGATGACAAGCGCTTTTGGAGATACTCTTTAGCCTTGTCGTATTGGCCAACGGACATAAACACAGTACCTAGGCTTCCATAGTTAGCTGCCTCCCTTTTCTGTCGCCAATTTCAGTTGTGATGACAAGCGCTTTTTGGAGATACTCTTCAGCCTTGTCGTATTGGCCAAGCGACTTAAACACAGTACCTAGGTTTCCATAACATGATGCTTCCCCTTCTCTGTCGCCAATATCAGTTCTGATGACAAGCGCTTTTGGAGATACTCTTTAGCCTTGTCGTATTGGCCAACGGACATAAACACAGTACCTAGGTTTCCATAGTGATTCGCCTCCCCTTCTCTGTCGCCAATTTCAGTTGCGATGACAAGCGCTTTTGGAGATACTCTTTAGCCTTGTCGTATTGGCCAACGGACGTAAACACAGTACCGAGGTTTCCATAGTTAGCTGCCTCCCTTTTCTGTCGCCAATTTCAGCTGTGATGACAAGCGCTTTTTGGAGATACTCTTCAGCCTTGTCGTATTGGCCAAACGACGTAAACACAGTACCGAGGTTTCCATAGTTAGCTGCCTCCCTTTTCTGTCGCCAATTTCAGCTGTGATGACAAGCGCTTTTTGGAAATACTCTTTAGCCTTGTCGTATTGGCCAACGGACAGAAACACACTACCTAGGTTTCCATAGTGAGCCGCCTCCCCTTCTTTGTCGCCAATTTCAGTTCTGATGACAAGCGCTTTTTGGAGATACTCTTTAGCCTTGTCGTATTGGCCAACTGACAGAAACACACTACCTAGGTTTGCATAGCTAGCTGCCTCCCCTCTTCTGTCGCCAATTTCAGCTGTGATGACAAGCGCTTTTTGGAGATACTCTTCAGCCTTGTCGTATTGGCTGCTGACTTAAACACAGTACCGAGGTTTCCATAGTTAGCTGCCTCCCCTTTCTGTCGCCAATTTCAGTTGTGATGACAAGCGCTTTTTGGAGATACTCTTCAACCTTGTCGTATTGGCCAAGCGACTTAAACACAGTACCTAGGTTTCCATAACATGATGCTTCTCCGCTTCTGTCGCCAATTTTGGTTGTTATGGCAAGCGCTTTTGGAGATACTCTTTAGCCTTGTCGTATTGGCCAACGGACATAAACACAGTACCGAGGTTTCCATAGTTAGCTGCCTCCCCTTTTCTGTGGCCAATTTCAGTTGTGATGACAAGCGCTTTTTGGAGATACTCTTTAGCCTTTGTCGTATTGGCCAACAGTTTTAAACACAGTACCTAGGTTTCCATAACATGATGCCTCCCTTCTCTGTCGCCAATTTCAGTTGTGATGACAAGCGCTTTTGGAGATACTCTTCAGCCTTGTCGTATTGGCCAACGGACAGAAACACACTACCTAGGTTTTCATAACATGATGCTTCCCTTCTCTGTCGCCAATATCAGTTCTGATGACAAGCGCTTTTGGAGATACTCTTCAGCCTTGTCGTATTGGCCAACGAACAGAAACACACTACCCAGGTTTCCATAACATGATGCTTCCTTCTCTGTCGCCCATATCAGTTCTGATGACAAGCGCTTTTTGAGATACTCTTTAGCCTTGTCGTATTGGCCAACGGACATAAACACAGCACCGAGGTTTCCATAGTTAGCTGCCTCCCCTTTCTGTCGCCAATTTCAGTTCTGATGACAAGCGCTTTTGGAGATACTCTTTAGCCTTGTCGTATTGGCCAACTGACAGAAACACACTACCTAGGTTTCCATAACATGATGCTTCCCCTTCTCTGTCGCCAATATCAGTTCTGATGACAAGCGCTTTTGGAGATACTCTTCAGCCTTGTCGTATTGGCCAACGGACAGAAACACAGTACTTAGGTTTCGATAACATGATGCTTCTCCGCTTCTGTCGCCAATATCAGTTGTGATGACAAGCGCTTTTTGGAGATACTCTTCAGCCTTGTCGTATTGGCCAACGGACATAAACACAGTACCTAGGTTTTCATAACATGATGCTTCCCCTTCTCTGTCGCCAATATCAGTTGTGATGACAAGCGCTTTTTGGAGATACTCTTCAGCCTTGTCGTATTGGCCAACGGACATAAACACAGTACCGAGGTTTCCATAGTTAGCTGCCTCCCCTTTTCTGTCGCCAATTTCAGTTCTGATGACAAGCGCTTTTTGGAGATACTCTTCAGCCTTGTCGTATTGGCCAACGGACATAAACACAGTACCTAGGCTTCCATAGTTAGCTGCCTCCCCTTTTCTGTCGCCAATTTCAGTTGTGATGACAAGCGCTTTTTGGAGATACTCTTCAGCCTTGTCGTATTGGCCAAGCGACTTAAACACAGTACCTAGGTTTCCATAACATGATGCTTCTCCGCTTCTGTCGCCAATTTTGGTTGTTATGGCAAGGGCCTTCTCAACATATTCCTTTGCTTTTAGGCTTTCGCCAAGTTTATAAAGCATAATTCCATACTCTCTGTATAAGTAAAACAGTTTCCTCCCGTATCTTTCCGCACTTATGTAATCAGACATATGACGATACGCGCTGAAAAGAATGGTGTAGATGTCGCTGTAAAATTGTAGCAGTGCCGAATCAAATTGGTCTTTGCTGTTTTGATCGGTGCAAGTTAGCAAAATCAAACATTCGCTGCATATCTCAATGGCTTTCTGAATGCGATCTGAGTTGAGCAAGAACAGGGCAACAAGTAAAGCGATGCTCATGAAAGGTGTCATGGCTTCTGCTGTTAGGTTTCCACTGCAATCCTTTCCTGTTATCAGGGAAACATTATTTTTCTTAACACAACACTAAACAAAAAAAAAAAAAAAAAAATGAAAACGGGCGGAGTGGATCGGTAATTTGCTCGAACATTACCACATCACTGGTCTTACCTTTGAAGGGTTAATCCAGTGACTGAAATATGGCAACAAGCAAATGACATCAGAGATAAGAGGTGGCTTGACTTTCAGTAATAATCAATAGTCATACTTAATAGTACTTCATATTTCTTTTGAGGAAGGGAGAGGTGGGGATGAATTTCGGTTTTGTACGTCACACTTTTGTGACCAATGATAGAATTGAACATGTAAAATAAACTATTTATTAACAGGAAACGTCAGGCTTCTGTGTCCATCTATTTCGAAAATTGAAATTTCATTACAAGATCGATGCCAACAGAACCAAAGCTTCTTTCTTTAAACGGTAAGCTATCTGTGAGCGATAATCAACTTTTCATGAACTGATATGGAAAACCGATCCGTAGTTTACTCCGCAGTGAATCTATTTCGGTTTTGTACGTCACATTTTTATAACTTCAAATCGACCATCTTTCGTTCCCCATACAATTCCTTATGACGTGTTCAACTCTGGTAAGTTAACACCGAGTCACACAACGCGTGACGCTTTCATGAATTAATCGTTTGCTTTTTCTCGAGTGTGAGCTTGGGCCGCCTCTGTTGACATCAGTAAAGGACATTCTGCATGACAAATATGTCTTAATATAGGATTGATTTTAGTTTTTTTGATCACGTGATTGTGGGAACCATCAGTTTCTCAAACTAAACAATGCTGAACAATCTTAGTTACATTCTGGTTGAAATTTATTGTATGAAACCTTAACTGTTTTAAGAAAGCCATTTAACGGTGGAGATATGAAGCATCCGATCAACGGAAAAGTACGCCTATACTACGTATGCAGTAACATTGAATTTAAGAAAGTCTTAGATTCTCTCAGAAAATTAAAACATCTCTCTTCGTGAGCGCGCAGCGTCATGACTTATCTTCTTATGCGAGGCTCTAGCGCTTAAGCAGACAAAAACAGATTACGGTGTTTAGAAAAATATGTACCGTAGAACCCGCCGCTAGTATCTAAAAATTTAAGTGAATGGTGTCTCGACCATGAAACGTTTGTGTACAAGTAGAAAACGGAAATTCAATTGAATCTACCGCGATCTCTGAATCGATCGTTAAACTCTCCTAAAAAGCCCTCATAGCCTCTGGAAAACCACGTAATGAAGCACTACGGATTTCCTATGATGTCAGCGTGGGACAGTCTAGTTTTATGATCATCAATTTCTCAAATTGAACGATACTCAATAACCTTGTTTTAGTTAATGAGGATAAATTATACGGTATAGAGCCACAGAGATTTAAAAAAGTCGCCGTAGAATCAATTTATTTCACTGTGGTGACGATTCAATCGCGCCATCAACCGCTTTAACGAAGGGCTAACACTCGAAACGTAACATATCGCAAACATAAAGATCAGGTACTGGATAAAGTAAATAATAAAGGGATAAAGCAGCTACTGGGCTTTGGCATAAGAGCCTTACCTCTCTACAGTTACTAAATGACTAAGGCTGATAAAAACCGAGTGACTAGAAAAGATTTTCAATCGCACTTACCAAGATGTTGACAATGTGGCTGATGCTTTCAAAATGAAACAACAAAAAACGAATTACTTTTCCCAACCTTCCGAACTTCCGCTGTCACATTGTTTAATGTATCCAGATCACGTGTGTTCAGGGTATTCCCTTCCCCCTGGGGCTAATCGAAATAAAAGGAAAAGTTTTAGATTGCATATTTTTTTTGTGTGCCCGTATGCCCGTCTATCGCGTCCCATTTAGGTTAAAAATTTTTAACAGTTAGTGGTCATATGATAACATGCTTATTGACAGAATTTGGTGGGACCAGTGGGGAAAATATTAAGCTCAGGGTTATGAAGAAAGGACCTCGCTGCGCCCCTACCACTCAATAAGTACACAGTATTTCGTTTTCGTACGTCACACTTTTATCAGTCATGATGTAATTGAACATGGAAAATGAAAAGTGTTATTCTTTTCCAACAGGAAATGTCAGGCTTCAGTGTTTACCCCTTTGAGAGGTTTGATTTTCATCACAAGATCAATCACAGTACAACGTAAGTCCCTTCTTTTTAACGCTAAGCTATCTTTGCGTGATAATAAACTCATTGTCTTCGTGAACTTTTCATTTTCTAGCGGGTGCGATTTGCATGATCGAAGCCAAAACTACTAAAAAAAACCAAGTGACTGTAATTCGGTTTTGCAAGTCACACTTTTATAACTAATGATGGTTATAAAATGATTGAGATAGTTCGTTTGCTCTCAATAGGCCAACTAGTTAGTTTAGATGAGAGTATGTAAACACAGCTTGTTTGGACGTCACACTTTTAATGTTTGCCGGCGCAATTTGAAAACATTTCAAACTCAAAGTTTTCCCAATACCCGCACAGTAATCTCAAGTGTAAGTGATAAATATTGGAATTGAGAAGTATGTGCCAATTTTTTGATCTAGGGTTTGACTTCCATCCCTTCCCCAGTGAGGAACAAGAAGGAGGAAAAGAGGAACTAGAACTCTTTTTGCTTGCCTTGATGACCATGAACTGTGTGGCCTAGTCGAGGGAGTTCAAGTAGACGATAAATATGCAAAAAAAATGCGCAGAAAAACATCGAAATGTAAGGAAACAAGGAAAATTCTGGAAAAAACATTTTGTTCTTCGCGCCCTACTTTCAAAGAAACACTTGGAAAACTGTATATCACTGAAAAGCTTATAAAGTATCGAAGAAAGTTTTAAAAGTTTGTTTTTTTTCCCAGCAAATTAAATTTCAATGTTTTCTCTAAAAAAGAGTAAATAAAATAGAAGTTTGAAATTTGACCAGATCTTGTTGACAGTAACCTCAAATCAAAACTCACAATTCAAGGCAGTAACAAAACAGTTTTTTTGTTATTGCCTTCGCTTCATTACAAAACTGAAGGAACCGTTTGTTCGTTGCGGCTGAACGAAAACAAAAATCATGCTGCCTAGGTCTCGAAGGCAGGGTAATTAATTTATTTTTCAAAAAATGACATTTAGTTGCCCTTTTACTGTGCCCTGAGCAAACGCTGGTCCTCGTAAAATGCCGAATTAATCAAGTCGATTTTGAAATTAACGCAGGGTCATATCATCGAAAGAACTCGGTGACACTGATTGCAAAATGAGAAACTTTCAAAGTGTGGCTGCATTTTTCAAGATAAACAAACAGTGACGTGGCTTGATTAAATTTCCTGAATTTAAGAGTCGTCGGATATATTGACAACTGACATACTTAGACGTTAAGTCAAGTACATATGTATTCAAATTAGAAACTTTTGTAAATATTGTTTGAAAGGGAAGGTAATTGATTAATTACCAAAATTACCGACCAATTGCCTAAATTTAGATAGATTTTGCTTTTGGAAGTTTCTCAGATATCACTGGCTAATTTTCAGCTGGTTAAGATGTCACTTTTTACCTATGTATTTTCTACCCTTCTTTAACTTCATTCGCTTGCAGTTTATCACTTCTCTTTGTCGGAATAGTGGTTAAGATATCCGTGCTTATCTGTTCAAGTTACCAAATTTTTCCAGCTTTTTGCATGATTCAATTCTGATCTATTCAGATTCACTGTAAAAAGGAAATAAACAACTGGTTTCCTTGGTTTCCCATCCTGTTATCACTGAAAACTTTCCACTTGAATATTCTCTTCGCATATCTTTTTTTTTCCTCTAGTTGTTGCTTCCTGTTCTCTGTTTTTTTGCACTTAGCTTGTTTTGAAGCCAAAAATAAAGGTAAAAATACAAAATATACCACTGAAAGATATTGACAACGTAAGCAATTAGAAAAAGGCTCTAAAATGGCAAATTACGAAAATACGCGGTCATTCAAGACTGCTGTTTCTCAGTGAAGGCGAGGCCCCTCTTTGATGAGGAAAATGGCTGTTGTTCAGT